AGTTTTTTAAAGGTTTGTTGGATGTTACAGTGGACCCTTGCCAAAAGCTAGCATCTATGACTCAAACTATAAGAAAATCATAAAACAATACTAGAGTTACTTGCTTTCTTGTTTATTTACCTTATACCCAATTCAAATGAACTGAAGGCATGTGTAACTATAAACACCTCCCAGTTGGAGTCTGTGAACAGAGAAGGGGAAAAATTGGACTCAGTTCGCAAGGAAGTTTATTGCCCCCAGCACTAGCATTTTATATCTCCAGTTATTATGCTGTTATAGGACAGTATCACCTATTTCTCCAGGTGAAAAAGCCTCCTTACATGGATCACTTGTCAGAGCCTGGCTGAGCAGCAAATGAATACAGCATGGCAGAGACCATTTGCCAGGCTATAACAATGCTGTCATCTGTTTTTTATTAAGGTATTAATCTGTGCTGTTTAGAGATCTGAAGGCCCAGGGGGGAAAAAACCTGGAAACATTCAGAAAAGAAACTTTCACTCCATTTTTTCTCTGAAAACATTTTCCCCAATTTTTCCAAAGGAAAATCTGGTAATTTTGGGGAGCAATGGAAAAGCCAAATGGAAAATGTGTGGAATGCTTTTTAAGACATGGTTTTACACGCTAAAAATGATGAAGAATTTTTAATGTAGGACAAAAAATAATTTGTGTTTATATTGCTTGATAAAAAGTAAGTATCTGATACATATAAAAGCCCTGCCGTATTGGCACTTTCCAGCTTTCCCATTGGCTATGCTGTTCGCTCCATCAGCCAGTCAACCACCACTCAAGAGTACTCATCTGCCATTGGCTGGGTGCTGGGTCTGCTCCTCTCTCTTGCCCAGTGCCAGCCAGGCCACTCTTCCCTGTGTGAATAAACTGTCAAAATGGCTGTCTCTCCTGACAAAGACACTTCTACTGCTGCTTGGCTCCTCTGTGGTTGGCTGGCTACTGAGGTGGGCCAGTGGCCATCTCTCCTCTTGCTGTGTGGCTCACTTTCCACACAGTGGCTGTTGCTAGGCAACCAAATTTGTTTCTGTCAGTAAAAAGATGGGGGAAGGAGGCCATTTCCAGGCCTTTGTGGGGAACTCATTGTGGCCAGTCTATGGTTGCCAGCTCCAAGTTGGGAAATTCCTAGAGATTTTGTGCTGGAGTCTATGGAAGCCCGAGTTTAGGGAGGCGAGAGGCCTCAGCTGAATAGAATGCCATGGAGTCCACCCTCCAAAGCAGCTATTTTCTCCAGAGGGAGAGAGAGATCTGTTATCTGGAGTTCAGTTATGATACCAGATGATACCACAGCCAGTGTGGCATAGCAGTTAGCACGTCATAGCAGAGTCTGACAGACCCAGGTTCTTGCTGTGGAAGCTGAGTGGGTGATTTTGGACCAGTCACAGACTTTCAGCCTAACCTACTTTACAGGGTTGTTGTGCAGATAAAAGGGGGGAGAGGAGAATGATGTGAGCTGCTTTGGTCCCTACTGTGGAGAAAGACTGTACTTTTCCTAGGTAGAGACTGCAGGAAGGGGGAGGAGATGGAAAGCTGAAGTCAGAGGGGCAGATACCAGGACGTTGATGGTTGGCTTAGAAGGTGACAGAATTGCCAACTCTAGGTTGGGAAATTCCTGGAGATTTGAGGAGTGGAGCCTGGAGAGGGTGAGGTTTGAGGAGGGGTGGGACCTGAGACAGGTACAATACCATAGACTCCACCCTCCAAACCAGCGATTTCTGCCTGGGGAACCACTGTTGCCAATCTCCAGGTGATTATATCCAAAAGAGCTCACGGGAGGAGGTTGTATCAAAACACAAACACTCCATGTATAACTTATGAACAGAAGTAGAAAGAATATATTAAACAAAGCAATTTTAACAATTCTTAACAATTCAAATATTTGTCAAATTCAAACACTTTTATGATTTCTTAAAGGGTTAGGATCCAACAGTACTTAATACAAAAGACAAAATCCAAGTAAAGTTCACTAATCTTTTGTATAAGATGCTTCAGGAGAGCAAAAGTTTCACAGGAAAACAAAAATTCCACGTTGTAGGAGTAGCAGCTATGCATGGCTGGCTTCAGTGCCGCGTTTGCTTCCTGCTTCTTTAGATAGCTGGTACTCTTTTAGCTGTGAAACTGAAAGTATATTTCTATGTCATACCTATTATGTCAGAACATACATATACTTACTCAAAAGATAATTTAACAAATCTCCTTAGACCAGTTTTCCAAATGCAGTCACCTGTTTACAGTTTTCATTGTATGATTGCATAGAACCACTCAAGTTTGTCCACAAAATATTAAATATATATATATATTATAAATACATCAAAGTTAATAAAACATTAAATTGATGTTTGTATTTTAACTTTTTCAAATAATTTAGTAAATGACCTTCTCATTCCTCCCTTTGAGATAACGGTTCTGTTTGAATTATTTAATGACATCCACAACATGCAACTAGCAAACGAGGTGTCAAAGTGGTATTAATTACTGTCACAGCAATCATTTAATTTTTTGACTGATAAGCAGACATTTGATGTGAAAAAATTACTGGGAAAAATAAGTGAATATTTTTTATTATGTAGATGAGATATTGCTTTGAACAACATGATAACATCTTATTGAATTAACAATAAGTAATGTGTTTAACCACCCATATCTGGATAGTCCAGGCTAGCCCAATCTCGTCAGATCTCAGAAGCCAAGCAGGGTCAGCCCTGGCTAATATTTGGATGGGAGACCTGTAAGGAATATTAGAGTTGTGACAGAGGCAGGCAATGGCAAGCCACCTCTGAATGTCTCTTCCTTGAAAAACCCATGAGGTTGCCATAAGTCAGCTGTGACTTGGCACTTTACACCACCAATATATTTATACATGCCATTGCTCCACCAGCATCAAAGTTCTTCTGGACAGTTTTTATAAAGTTAATTTGTTCTAATGTTAAATAAATATTTCTCCTTAATCAATGACGGTTGTCTTCTCACCCTTTTCCTCCTCTTATCCCTTATTATTTGTTTGTTTATTTGGGCCATTTTATGTTGCTTTTCTACCTGAAGGGACCCAAAGTAGTCTTTTCCCCTCAGATACTGATAATTTTTGTTGCACATTCTACAGTATTGTTAAGTAATTCATAGATTACTGTAAACTTAATTAAGTAATTAACTAATTCTTTTACAGTAAACAGAAAAAATCTTGCAGAATCTGAAATACTGACAAATTAGTGACATGAACTTTTGTGAGCTAGAGTCCACTTCATCAGATATTTGAAATATTAGATATTAGTTTAGTATACCTAATACAAACTAAACAAAAGGGGGGGAGATTGCATGTAAAGTTTTTATAAAATAAGATCAAAACACACAGCAACACAGCAGTTAGGTGTGTAACACTACTGTGCAGAGCACAAATGATATAAAAGAAAGAGTTAAAGATTTAATCAGATTGTGAGCTATAAACCACTTATAACTGGTGGTGAATTGTCAAGACATGATGAATAGTGTACATAAACTTCTAATGAGGGACAATTACTTAGGGTAGTGACTTAACCATTCTTACTCTCTGCTGAACTCAAGCCTGATCATATTAAATATGTATATTAATCCTACTTTTTAAACAAGACTTGTGTGTACTTGTACTTCAGTATTGTAGCATTATTGATCAACAGTACATTTTTGCACTATTAATAGTTATATTTCATAATGTAATAGATTTTCTATGTGGAGCCACAAGGAGAATGTTAATTTTAGTTCTGTCCTTGGCAATGTTAGTCAGGAATTGAAGTCCTGTGCACCAGCTGTATGCTCCATTTTCCTTTTGAAAACCACATCTACACATTACAGCCCTTGAAATATGGACCTGTGCTGTTGATTAGCACTACCCAACTAAACAGGGTGATTTTTCAGAACTGCAGTTACAACTACATAGTCTTTAGAACAAGTAGAAATTGATATTCTTCATTGGCTTTCAGAAGCAGTTAAATCTGTTTATAGCTATTCAGAAGTAAGAGGACTATTTTGTAAGTCAATTTTCTTGTAAGAGTAAATGAATTTATTTTTCATGCATTGTTTTTGCTAGCCCATTGTATTGGATAGTGCAGGCTAGCCCAATCTTGTCAGATCTCGAAAGCTAAGCAGAGTTGGCTCTGGCTAGGATTTGGATGGGAGACCTCCAAGGAATACCAGGGAGGCAGGTAGTGGTAAACCACATACGAATGTCTCTTGCCTTGAAAACCCTACAGGAGTGCCATAAATCAGCTGTGCTTTGATGGTAATTTTTTTTTTTTTTTGCTAGAGTTGGTTCATAGTTTAGCATTACTTTTCTAAACGTATTTTTCCACTGATTTTTTTCATGAAAATTGTAATATATGAAGCAGCCTGTTTAAGGATCCCCAAGCTAGAGTCAGAGAGACACTGATAGATATACAACAGGGAAAAACAGAGTAAAGTGTAAAGCAGATTCCAGGAGAAGGTGCTTGAGAGAATATTATGGGAAAGAAGGCAGAGAAAAGGAAAAGTGTAGCTGAGGAAAAACTGATGATGGAGAAAAATTTCTCATCAGACCTAGGAAAACTATGGTCTGCATGAAAAGGAGCTGGAGAACTGTTGACCAGAGAGCCAAGGAGGGGCAGGGACTTGAACTAACCACCCAAGACTCTGATATGTTTCTATACCCTGTGATTTATCTCTTTTAGAACCTGACTTTATTGGCATTAGAAGGAATCTAGCCATTAACTATTAAGTTGATTAATGTTTCTAAGGAGTATTCCAGTACAAAACTGCAATGATTATGTAACCTCTGATTCCTTATTCTATGATTAATTGAAAACATATAGTGAAATACACCATCACAAACCTTTGCATATTTCTTAGGCTTAGGCAAAGCTAGCTTCTTAGTGTTAATGACATCATCATATGAATAATGACTGGATGTTCTGGTTTGATACTAATGCCTTCAATATGTACTTTGAGGCACATTTTGATAAAAGAAGTTCATTTTCTATATTTTTCAGGGATGTAGTTATCAAATTACTTCTATATGAAGCATCCACTAATGTGGCAGACAATAAAGGGTATTTTCCCATACACTTGGCTGCTTGGAAAGGAGATGTAGAAATTGTGAAGATTCTTATCCATCATGGGCCATCACATTCCAGAGTGAATGAACAGGTGAAAATATTAAATCTCTTTGTTTATCACTTCAGAAAATACAAGTAAGTATCTTTTTGTACTTGCAGATATATGGCTGGATTCATGAAGGCCCTTTGTTCTCTAGAATGTTGAATAGTAGGGAGGAAGAGTGGTTATTTCTACGGAGCTACACATGGATAGAGATTGGATACTTCTTAAAATCAGTGCAGGCTTTAATATATACTAAATGGTGCCTAGTCTTGTTTGTATTGCTCTGTATTTATTTTAATCAAATTCGTTGGCAGATGTCCATGCCCCTCTATTGATGCAAAATGTAATCTTTAGGACTGCTGCTATTCAATTTGTTAATTTTTTGTTACAGATATGTGATATAATGCTATGCCACTTTGTTTCTGCTAAAGGTTTCAGATCTCTGATTCATAGTGTATCTTTTAATGGGGAACAGAAAGCAGAGGTTTCCAAATCCTGCCGCTCGGCTGTTTGGTTTAAATGGCTCTGAGCCATTTAAGCCAAACAGCTGCTTTCTGCTCCTCGAGGCTTTTTGCGGGGAGCAGAAAGTAAGGTTTAAGGCTGCTTTTCATGAAGAACAGAAAGCAGGAGTGAACCCCTGCTTTCTGCTCTTCACAAACTGCACCAGTCTTCATGGAAGTTCGTGGCAGTTCTTCAGTTCATGAACATCACTTTGTGAACCAGAAACCAGCAATATTTGTGATGAACTTTAGTTCGTCAGCTGGTTCATGCCCATCTCTATTCATTACTTAGAATTATTTTGGAAGGAAATGTTCCAGAGACACATTCACAATCAATGCTAATTTCCAACAAGATCCAGGAGTACAAAGTGATGAATGTATGAAGTTGCCTTATGGTGGATCAGCTCACTGGTCCACCTAGCTCTTTATTGTTTACTTTGACCAGTAGCAGCTGTCAGTCAGACACAGAACAGTCTTTCCTTACAGCTGGTGCCTGTCATCCTTTAATTGCAGATGCAAGAGAGAAAATGTGGGCCTTCTGCAAAATATGTGCTCTACCTCTGAACAACTTGTGCTTTTAAGAAACATATGTAATAATAAATTTGATAGGAACAATTACAGTTTCTTTTCCAGAACAATTCATTATGAGTAGAGCAAAAAAAAAAAAATCTTTGTGAAACACTGAATCCAGCCCCCTTAAAGCTTTCTGAGACAAAACTCATGCAAGGTAGTTTTTAGAAGTTTTTAAAGAATGCAGTATACTGTGCTTCATTGTTAGGAGGTTTTTTTTAAAGTCTTTACATATATCTAAAGAGATTAAACTGAAATCTGAAATGCATCTTCATGTCTTCTGTGCAGGCACACATGGGACTGCCTAGGTGCAGGCCAACTGTGGAAAGGCGATTCCCAAGCTTCTAGAAAATTCAAACCTCCTGAGCACTCCCCCTCCCCTCCATCCCCTCCTTTTCGTGCCAAAATGGTTGTGTGATGGAGGCAGGGAAAGCGCTCTTCCATCAGTTCTCTTTTTGCCATCATGGAGAGAGGATGCTTCTGCAGCTTCTGCTGAGGTACTTCATCATCTACTAGTTCTACCCTGTGAGTTTTCTTCTTGAGCGGACAGTGGCCCAATGAGATGGGTCTTTTTAAAAAGTGCCAGACTTGTGGCACCGAAATGTCTCAGAATGATGAGCATGCAAATTGCCTTATGTGTTTGGGTGAGGGACACAGCAACCTGTAAGCCATGCTATCTGTTAACCCCAAAAGCTAGACAGCAATGGGCATCTCGTCTTAAAGCAGCTTTATGGGAAAGATTGTTGGGCATCCCAGCAAAATCCGCTGGGATCCCACAAAAAAGAGCCTGCGCATCTTCAGTGGTGTGAGTCCCCAACATGTCCTTTAAACTTCTCACAGAGGAAACTTTGCCATCTCAAAGAGTGGCTTCTGCCCACCGGGCAACAAAGGCTAAGAAGAAATCTAAGCATTTGGGGTTAGGTCCATCCCAGTCCTTAAAATCTCCAGCTCATACGAAATTGCCTTCTACCCACTTGTCCCCAGCTTGGCACAATTTACCTCCTCCACCTTGATGGCAGGTTTCTTCCCTGCCTTGATGCCAGTGATTGGACTCACCTTGAAGTTGATGCCAGGCTTCTCCAAGGACTGACACACCATCACCATGATGTTGATTCAGTACTAGTCCTCGACACTGAACACCATCACCCACTCGGAATTGAAGAATGACACCTATGCAACACCAGCAGTCATCATCACCTTGACATTGTAGGCCCGCTCCTTGACACTGAAGCACATCCTCTGACACAGAGGGGGAGTTGGTGTCAGATCACACACCCCTTCTCCATCTTTGGGTTGTGTGGAATATCAGTCATCTGGGTCAGAGCGGGCAATGATACCCCCAGGTGTAATGGGGATACTACGCACCATGGCTTATGCCACCTTGGGTACAATGGGAACCACCCCAGAACTTCTCCCAGTGCCAACCAACAGTGCACACACTGCAGCCAGGGGTGGCTCCACAATGTTCACCAATGTCAGAACGCCATCCCACCAAGTCATCCTCTGAAACTTCTCCTTTGGATCTGGATGGGGGCCAGGAGTGTGACTCTGAAGAAGAGTTGGAGTGTGCCTCACTTCCGTCGTCTGCTGCTGCCATGGGGGATCCTTTGCCAGTATTGCCAATGGAAGATCTCAAGCTGTATTCAGCTCATTATGATGGCAAAGGCACTTCAGTTTAACTAAGCCCCATTGGATCTGAAGCCCTGGGACCCTATAATTAACATTCTGTATTTCTCCAGGCCCAGTTGCCCTCCCCATGGTGAAAGTGGACATAGCCTCAAACATATGGGCCAGGTCTGTGTCTGGCCAAGCACTCACAAAGAAAATTGAGAACTTTTACAAAATAAGATGGGAAGGGTGTGAATCCCTCTTCCCTCCCTCTTCAACACCTTATAGTGAATTCCCTAGTTGCTGAGGTTCTCCTCTCAAGACAAAGGTCAGGATCTCATTCCTTGCCCCTAGGGCGGAAGTTAGATATGTTGGGCAGGAAAGTATATATCTTGGGAGCTTTGGGTCTGTGCATTGTGGATTTCACAGCAATAATGAGATACCAAATGTCCCTCTGGGAGAGGCTGGCTCAATGCATAGATACACTCCAAGAGGACAAGAAGACCTCACACTGAAGGTCTCAGACTCAGGAAACAAGAGCTTAATGCTTCCCTGTATGTAGTGGATTCTTGCAGTCAAGTCATGGGTTCAGAAGTTTTGTTTAGAAGACACTTCTGGTTGAGAGCTTCAGCCTGCCTTCAAGTACTAGGGCTTGAATTGAGTATCTTCCCTGCTAAGGGAAAAGTCTCTTCAGCAAGCAACCTGATATGGTTCTGGATAGGATCCAGAAGAATAAACTAACCTCTGAGCCACTGGGTATCACCCCCCCCCCCCAACTACCTAGTTCCTTCAAGCCAAGGTATTTTCCTAGACATGGTCATCACTACCCTTATGGTAGACAGCCATCCCAGTACCAGCAGCACTGGCCTGGAGAAAAATTGCTTCCTGACCCTGAAGTGGTGATCAGCATTTCCATGGGGATGTAAGAAAGGGTCAAAAGAGCTAAGCACTGATGCAACCTTTCCTGCCTTCCCTCTCATAATCTGCCTAAATTCACAGAATCAGCATTGCTGTCAGATGGCCATCTAGCCTCTATTTGAAAACCTCCAAAGAAGAAGAGCCCCTCCCCCCCCCGGAAGCCTGTTCCACTGAGGAACCTTTTTTTTACCGCTCTGTCAGGAAGTTCTTCCTAATGTTTAGCTGAAAACTGTTCATTGCTTGAAATATTTACTTATTGCCTCTTTAAAACTGAGGTTTATCAGGATTTTTTTAGGGGAGCAAATTTAATCAGCTAATGAAATTAAATTACTAGAGGTAGGCAAGACAGAATGGTGAGGGAGGATCTCTTGGAGGATGTAGAGGGGATCTTCTTCTTCCCCTTCGAGTGCTAATTAATGGACGGTATTTGCTGCCACAAAGAACCAGAAGGAGCGCAATGGGATGGGTTTGCGATGCCCCATGGGGGGTACTGCAAATTTGAAAGGGGGCGCCGTCCATGTGCCCCACTGCTGGCTATGGCCCTGGCTGCATCTCTGTGGATATACACAGGACACGTGATGGTGCCATCATTAAAGAGATTAAGGAATACTCCTAATTTTTTTTTTTTTGGTAAACAAAATTTTTATTATTATTTTCATTCATAGGAATCCAACATTTAAACATTAAACCTTTAAAAGAATACCTTTGCTTACCCTACGTTCATTACTCCTTCCCCCCTCCTGTGGCTTCCAGCAATGCTTTCACCCCTTTTCCCACACTCATATATATTTCATCAGTTATTAACATCTTGTTTCTTGTCACTAACTTATAGATAACATCAATTTGCTTAATATTGTTCTAAACACAGTAAATTTTGTTTCACATCCCAGTTCTTTTCCAGATAAATTTTGAAGTCCTTCCATTCTTCAAAAAATTCTTCATCTTCTTTGTTGTTTAGTTTCTTTGTAATTTTGTCCATTTCTGCCATGAACAGAACTTTTTGAATCCAGTCCTCAATCTCTGGTACTTTTTCTAGTTTTCAGTATTGTGCATATATCATTCTCGCTGTCGTTATTAAGTACCAGAGTAGAGGTTTTTTTGTCGCATTGACTTCTTCCATCTTTAATCCCAAAAGCAGAATTTCCGGTGCTTTTTTAAAAGAGCATTGTAGTATTTTCTGCATTTCACTGTGGATTTTCGTCCAGAAATCCACAGCTTTTTCACAAGTCCACCACATATGGTAAAATGAGCCTTCATGTTTCTTACATTTCCAACATCTATTAGACATATTTTGGTTCATATTTGCTATTTTTTTCGGAGTCATGTACCATCTATACATCATTTTATAGCAGTTTTCTCTAACATTGGTACAAGTCGATATTTTAATAGAGTTTTTCCACAAATATTCCCAAGATTCAATCGTCACTTCTTTATTCATATTAATTGCCCACT